ATAATTAGCAATCAGAATACATATCATATACACAAAATAAAAATAAAGTAATTGAAATAAACAAATAATAAAAATACGAAAACAAAGATTATAAATAAATACAAATAATATAATTATAAGCAAATTAGGAAAAATAAGTACGTTAGGATGCCTCCATTGAGTTAATCTTAAGTGGAGAAAGTCAGGCAGAGATTACATGGTCAGGTCAGCAGGACATTTTATTTTGAGTCTTCGGCTTGTAATTCATCACATAGAGATTGGAAAATAGTTTGGGTTATCAATTGTAAAAATTAAACATAGTATTTAAGTTAAATCAGCTTAAATGACCCTTAAGTTCTTATTGCTGGTAATATTGATAATTATATATTAATTTTAATAATTGATTAATATATTTGTGAACAAGTTGCAGTTTTCTCGTTGTAAAAATTTAAAGTGAATAAATCGTTAAAAATCGTGCAATTCGTTGCACCGATGTACCTGCATCAAATTACCCACACGTGTTTGGGTCTTTAAATCCACATAGCACGATATGAAGAAGAGCAGCAATTTTTCGTAATTTGATGTTTTGCTTGTAAGTCATTGATGTATGCACAGCGTCTCGTTTTATCACATGTCAAACAACTACCGCTACCTATACATCATGCCCGCTCGATTAAAATATATTTTCATTGATCACTATAATTTTTCGACTAAAGTGTTGTATTAAGTGAGCATTCGATGTCAGTCCCTCTGTCATTATTCATCATATAGCTCTCGGTGAGCCGACGATCGCGTACACGATATTACGCGGAATAATACGTCTTGCGTACGGGTACGGATCATCCCGCTGCCACCAGCCGGCTTTACTTCGGACACTATTTGAATCCGATCATGGATCATCGGACAGGCTTATCCGCATTCTGAGGAAGTGAGGACCTATCGAATTTATTAGAGGACCGAGTCGTAGATACCGAGGGGGTGCATTGATTGAAGCTCATGATCTTTTCGTGTTTATGAATAGTGATATTAACTCTTTGGGGACGGCTGTCCTCCTGAGTGGACAAACATACCTTGTGAGGCATAGGCTATTTTATAAACAATGACTCAGTTTGCATCGAAAAGTTGAACAAATTACATATAGCAGTGATAAACAGTGTTGTATTTTAAAAATAATTTTAAGTTATTTTAGTAGCATTTTTAGCCTTTTTTCTTTGCTATATAGTATTTTTTTCAATATTTAAAACAACCGAGCGCTTTTAAATATGGCAAAACGACTGGTAAATTTTGTGAATTAAGCAGTAGTGAAGATGAGTTTCAAATAGACATTTATACAGACAAATTTTACGAAATTACTATTCGCACCGAAGATAGTGATGAATGTGATGCTGATATTATCTAACCAACAAAAAGAAGAAGTTCTACAAATTAAATGATGAGCGGAAAGATATTAGCGAATGTGCCGATTCTCCTTCAATAATCGAGTTTGGCATACATCAACAAACACCCCGACTACAAATACCAAGCAATATAAGACATCCGATAGATTATTTTACTTTATATTTTACAAATGAGTTATTAGACAATATAATAGAAAAAACAAACGATTATGGCAGCACAAAAATGAACAAATATACTGACTAATCAGTGACATATTCTAAATGCGAGAGAAAGAAAAAGGGATTGTATTGTCTGTCGACAGAAAAGCACTAGGAGGAAGGCGGCGAATAACATTTTATTGTAAAACATGTCAAAATAAACCAGCAATGCATTTTGGAAATTGTTTTGAACGTCACCATTCTTTATAAAATGATCAAAAATAAATTAATATTATAAATGTATGTCCTTCAATGACCACAAATTTTTATCAAACAAATTGCATAACATTCACAATGAAATCAAGTTTACAGCCGGTACAGTAGATTGTTTTGAAATCGGTGCCGTCCCGTAAGTGCTATTTTGTATTCTTTTCGAGTCAAAGTTTTAAATATCAATTGAACTTACATGTGATATAAAAAAATTCATCGCATGAGTAAATACATAAAAATTGCAGATAAACATTTTTGCGTATTAATTTCTAATATACTTGATATTTAAAAATGAAAATTTTTCTTACGAAATTATCAATTTAAATTAAAATTCATATGATATATTCTTATATGAACAAAATTTTATTTGAGATAAACTGTAATAATATAAAATAAATTTTATCATATTAGTGTTAATAATTTTTTTTAAATATAAAACATTTAACTAACAAATAATTATCTGCATGACTATAGCACGTTTTCGTATAGCACTAAATAATATCTGATAAATTTAAGAACTCAATATAAATATATATTAATAATAATGATGGGTGCCATATGGTAGGTCTGTGAGCGGAGTTAAACTCCAACTCGAATCAGGAAAGAATAGTAGAATAAAATTTTATAATATACAAGTAATATATATACACACACACACACACACACACACACACACACACACACACACATATATATATATATATATATATATATATATATATATATAATATAAATATTTATTATTAACCTCACTAACCTCAAAACTTCCACGCCACCAGCACAGAGCCCCTTGTCTTTTTCTCCACTCCATCACTCACCATGGATTTACGTCTTAATCCCACAATCACATCACAGGATTCAATCGGTCACTTACACCACATCACTAACATTTCTTATTTATTCAATTTTATTTACTTAAGTCCATAAACCAAAAACTTTGCATTCGGCCCATTCCCTCCATTGTCCCTGAGAGCGATTATAATATTTTCAGTATTTGGTCTGCTCTGCGAGGTTCTGGTACCCCGATCGCATGAATATTCATGACGGCTTTCATGAGTCATCACGTGCGCTCTTACAAAATACAGGATTTCATATTAATAAATTCATTAAATTATATTTTATGGTTTTAATTATATTCTTTACGTAACACTAATTGAAGGTTGCGTACGAATATAATGGTAAACGCCGTGCATCGCGGAATAAACAATGTGCAAACATGCAGATTTATTTTATTGGATCTTTAGATGAATTGGGATATTAGGTTAGGCTAGTGTTTGCCACAACAGGTAACATGAACTGTGCACGTGGTTATTGCATTGAGGACGATCTGCATTGTCAGTGTTGCCCTATACACTGATAAAATTAACTATGAACAATTTTCGTGACTATTTGTTGCGCCAAATTTAAAAGTACACACTTTCTGGGTCTTTTATAAAATAAACAAACTATGTATTCAAACACTTAAGCATTAATTTTTATTTTAAATGTCTGTCGTGTAAGAACGTGGGCTAGCACGAGCTAGTTGCGGGTTTGATATCAAGCAGTATGATAACAAATTTTCTAGTGAAAGTAGAATAGGTAGATAGCATATATAATTTCGAGTAAAAATTGCATTAAGTAACATATATACGCAAACACTATTATACATATATATAATATGTAAAAATTTTATGAAACCCAATTCTGAAAAGGAAAGAAAACTGAATTGGACCTGCAAAAATTGGAAACTGGATTGGACTGGAAAAGAAACTGGTCTGCAAAGAAAGTGCCTCCTATACGACGTCGTCATAGGTGAAATAGAAGTACCAAAAGTCGGCCACTCACACCATTTATTATTATATAATACATACCTATAGTCTACACAAAAAGAAGAATGGTTGACCACTGGGTTGCCCTCTTGAGAAATACACCAGGTTGGGATGTACGATAGCAAACACAGCTAATAGAACATAGAGTTCTGATTGTGAAAATTTGACATCGATGCTGTCTGATGTCGGGCTTTGGCCGTGGCGGAAATCGAACAAGCGAACGCAGGAGCAGTAAGTGCTACGTCCGAATCGATTACGCCACCGCTGGGCCCGTTAAAAAATATAAACATTTTTTTTACTAACTTATTTTGGTCTTCTTTATGCCTGAAATAAATTTGGAGGAATGAAGTATGTGTATTGAGTGAAAATGAAAAGCATACGTTATATTTTATATATTTATTTTGTGTGAATGAAATCACTTCGCATGTACAATATTACATTGAAACATTCAGACATTAATCAATTTATATCTGTTATATTCTAATCGTAATACGAACTCAGACGAAAAATAAGACTATTTACATAATATTTTGTTTTTATAATATTAAAAAAGATAAAACCGTATGGCAACTGTGTATGCATTCATTGTAGTATACAATACCTTATGAACAAATTTATTTAACAATTAATTTATTTCTCAACTATTTACAATTAATTACAAATTTTATTTACTTTTGTTTTTAAATAATTATCTTGTAATTGGTCGCTTATAATTTCTAATTAAAAAAATCACTTGAATTAACATTCTGTAACATGTGTAAGTGAACTAAATAATCAGGCCTTCAGTGTGCAGAAACATAGGATGCATCACTCGAATAAAATTAAAATCTAGATTTTAATACACAATGTAAATTAAAGGAAAATTGCACATTTTTAAATACTATTTTTACTAAGTGGTGGGATCAGGTAATGTTTTATTTATCACCCATTTTTTATCATAGAATTCAAATATTTAAATAATAGTATATATATTTGCAGACACACTGGATATACATATATACATATATTGGTCGTACATACCTGTATATACATATATAAATATATACACATGCACATATAATTAAATGAAACTAATAAATGATTTTTTTACTTAAGTTTAAATATTTACAAAATACAAACACTCGGAATCATTATGCTGATTTAATTACATAGTCATTTAACTTTAGTTATAATTTAATACATTTATTTAATGATATATCTAAATATTCTGTATATTTTCTAAGACCACCATCCAGGTGGTATCGCTCGGTCCACTAAAAGAGACGCGGAGACTAGACTGGGCAGACGAACATCGGGATTCGACTTGTTTCATAATTATATTCGATCTCTTCCATTCGTTCTTAATTGCATGAATTTGTTGATTATTTTTTTTCGTTTTTTTCAATCTTTTTTTTCTATATATGATTATATTTAAATTTTATACAAACGTAATTGGGAACTCTTTTTGTACTGTTACAAATTGTTTATATACATATTCACAGGATTAGACGTTAAATTAGTTGCTTAGTATTTAGAGAATCACGTGTACTCTGACCGCCATCCGCTCTGAAATAGAAAGAAAAATTTTGTTAAATATTATAAAAGATTATTTGATATAATATGCGACACTAGAATAACTTTAAACTAGTTTACAAGTGTGATTGACAGAAATACCACTACTAGCAATACCACCTCGTCATGGAGAAGTGGGAGAGTTTTGTAAATTGACGAGAATACTCGTCATGCGTATAAATCAAGTGATCATCTGCTATTTAAATTGCAACAATTAGAAAAAAAACAAAATATATTCAGGAATGCCAAGTTGTTTAGAATATATATAAAATAAGTAGTCGTAAGGGGGCGTCCATTAATCACGTGAAGTTTTTAGATGGAGGAAGGCTTTGACAAAAAATTACGAAATATCACGTGGGGGCGGGAAGAGTATAGTAAGATATCACGTGAATTTTTAATCCGATGTTTTTTCTCGTGACTAAAAATACACCATTGGGGAGGGGAGTCCAAAAATCCTTAAAAAATCGATCACGTGATTACGGGACGCCCTCTAAGTGGCATTTTACCTTGAAGCAAGTTGCATTAACTTCCCAAGATGTGGAAGAGTATACCAATCAACGGTAATCAGTACAAAACATAGAGCGGAATATATCTACTTAATGATTACTATTCCGAAAATTAATGATTTTTAACTTCCCGTAGGGCAAGTTATAGTAATCGCAAAAAAATCGAAAATGAAAATGTTTATATATCTTTACGTTTCAGAGGTTTCTGAACATTTTGGCATACCTTAGAAAAAATGGATGTATGTGTGTGTGTGTGTGTGTGTGTGTGTATGTATGTATGTATGTATGTATGTATGTATGTATGTATGTATGTGCGTGTGTGTATGTATGTGCGGATACAAATTTTCGTCGACGATTTCGGGAACACGGATCAACCGATTTGAATAATTCAAAAAACATTCGATTCGTATTAATAAGGAGACGTGCTGATTAGTTTTTGGCGAAAGCAGGTCTAGCCGTTCCAAAGATACGGGGCAAAAAGTGCCGAAAACGGTAACTCAGTTTTTAAGAGAACGGAGCGTCCGATTTGAATATTTCAAAAAACATTTTACTTGTATTGACAAGATAAAGAATTGATCAAATTTTCATGAAGGCAGGTCTAACGGTTTCGGAGATCTGATGAAAAAAGTAAAAAAAAATGCCATTTGGCGGTCAAAAATGATCATTAGACATATGCACATCAAATTATCAAATATTTTATAGAGATTTTAACAATAAGTATAAATTTTTTTTACATTTCTATGGGTTCCGTACCAATGTTTACGCGTTAGACGGCGACGCGGCGCTTACGGGCTTTGATATTTCGTCTTTATGCAGTTAAAGCAGTACGATTGCTCTGAAAAAAAGTTTAGATCTTCCAAAATATGTCAAAATAAAATAAAACATTTACGCGAGAAGAAAAAATACAGGGAACTGAAAGGAAAAGCACAGGGCCAAGAAAAATAAAAGCAGAAGTTTGAAAAAAAATACATATAAGTGAATAATGGCAATAAAATGGCAATGGAAATAATAAACAAAAGAGGGAAAGGAAATCGTTGAGTTTTGATGCATCCACACCATGAACTTGCCTTTGGTCCTACTACTGAACATTATTATAATTATTATTATAATAAGGTATAATATTTCATTGATTTGTTTCCATTTTTAGTTTAATACGAATGTGTATGTTGAAAAAGAAGTAAAATGTAGTAATAAAAATTTTGTGAAATAAACCCATATTTTTCATCAAAGATCTTACCGACGCAACTTACTCTGTGATGACGAGTATACGCCATGGATTCGATTTGACCGTTCGATGAGTGCGCCACATTAAACTGGTTAATATAAAATAAATTGCTCAAAACGTCCGTGTGTATCGGAGCCCTAGCGAAACCGACGCATTCAAAATGTAATTACTGCATTTTTTATGATTTTTCAATATCAAGATATATGATATGATTTCGATCGAATTGAATATAGTTATTGTTAATGTCCACAACTAGGAATAATTACCGTTGTGTCTTCATGTCGGTATAACCATCCAATAATAATAACCTTCGTGACACGTTCGGTTCATTTGAACCGGGTCAAGTGAAACAGTGAAACAGTGAAACAGTCGCGCGTCTAGTTGCGATTTCTATTTCTGTGTTTAAACGAGATTCGTATCAGGATTCAAGAAGTCTGCATGGACTCTGCTAAAGCGTAGATGATCAAGATAATTTATTCCATCTCATAATTTATTGTACGGCGTACACGCTAATTATCGACACTTTTTATTTCTGCATTGCAGAAACGTTGAAATTATTATATTCATGCGGTGCTGATGCCGGACGGCGGGGACGGGAGAATAATCTTTTATAATATAAACAACTTGCCTCAAACATTGAGATACTAGTAATTTGTAATAATTTGCTACTCATTAACTTTGGTGTCCACATTGTAAACAGTCAGAATTGAGGTAAAATGTTGTTTTAAGGTAAAATGCGTTATGTCGTCAGAATCGAGGTACAATGTCGTTTTAGGATAAAATGCCACTTTGCAACTGTTTTTATTCATAAAAAATTTTATTATTTTATTATTATTTTATTTTAGCATAGCCCCAAAATCTTTTAAATAACTTCAATTTTTATTTATTATTTTGAGCAGCAAACAGAACTTAAGAGTCGTATAAGCAGCTGTGCTAAATAGCCTTAATACTCTAGTCGGTTCTACAGATGGCAACCAAAACAGTGTTCCTATCTCTATGTGATGAATTATTATAACAATTTATTTACTATGATAAAGCAATACCGGATGAAGTCTATTTTCAATGGGAAAAACATTGCTTTCTATATTTCCAAGTGAAAACCGTTGCACCACTGCTTGACAACAAGCATTTCGAAGCGGGATCGAACCCGGGACCTCTGATTTAGGTCCAGTCATATCTTGAAATTCGGAATATGTTCTGTTTCTTTGTAAAAAACTGTAATCTAGTTAACCGATAGTCGAAGTTATCTACGAATAAGTCAAGTATCAAGTCAATACACAAAGTTCTGCCACTTCACCATGACGAGTATATTCATCAATCACAACAAACTTAATACTAAATAATTAATAATGTATTCACAAAAGTTCATACATGCAAGTACACACATGTAGATTTAACCCTTTCCGCTCGGCACCTATTCAAAAACAATCTATCAGCAACTGGTGCCGCATTCTGACAAAAACGTACCTGCTGTATACTTTATATTATTGAGTATATTATGCAATTTGCTTTATATGAATTTGTAGACTTTGAAGAACATAGATTTATAATAATGTCAAAATTTATTTTTGGAAGAATGTTAAAGTTTAGCAATTTCCAAAAGACATAGTGACATTTCATAAAAAAGTCTAAGATATTGTTTTTTATGACCTTGTCCTTTTTAATAAAAATGTGGCTTTACGAATTGCTTCGTAGTTTTACCGTATTTAGAAATAAAAAAAATATGTTAAAAAGGGTAAAACCTCTGTAAAAATAAATAATAGCAAATTTTGAAAAGAGAACATTTTCTGCATAGGTTTATTCAAAAAATAAGCAACTTTTTAACTCGCGGAGTGCATTGAATTTTTAAAATTGTATGACGTATATACTAGTAAATATTACAATATAAAAATACATACTAAATTAAAAAAAGTAAGTTGTTTCATAAATTAACACAACAAAAAATAATATATTATAATTATTTATTATTGGAAGAAAGTTGATAAAATAAATAAATTACTTTATAAAAGCTTGGCGAGCCAAAGTAAAATAGTTAAAAGGCCGCATGAAGCTCACGAACCGTGGGTTGCTTATCCTTTATCTATTATTCGATGCTTGAATACAAACTCAATCATTGTAAAATATATAAAAACTGCAGAGTGCCTCAGAGGACACAGCCGAGTGATATGCTGAAATTATGTTGTCCTCTCAGAGAGATAGCCGAGCAGAAAGGGTTATACAAATAAGCGACTAAATTAATCTAATATTGTTTATCTATTACTACTCACCATTGAATTCAGTCCCAGTGATGCAACGTGGTGGTAGGGTGCGGGCGCTGGCGGACCGCCGAAACCGCCTTGGGTTGATCCGACGCCGCCGACACTGCCGCCGACTCCAACTGGCGGTACACTGCCCATGTTGTACCAATGTGGCATCGCGTGCGCGTGCAGGCTCGGAGAGAGGTGGCTGTGTTGACCTGCACCAGGAAAGACTGTCTACTTAGTGAGAAATATTCTAATTGACGGGCAAGATTTATAAACTCTTGCCATATATAAATAAATTTTTTTGAACATCTTTCGTTATGGTAATTGATACATGTGCAATTATACTAGCAAAAAATGATTAACAATCAGGTGTAGAATATGCGATAAAATCTTTTGAGTAATTAAATAGTAAGAATAAAAAGTAATAGCAAATGTCTAACCATTGACAGGCTGATAAAAGTTCTAGATATATCTATTGTGCACACCTAATGGATTTTTACATAAACGTTTCTATGATTGTATTAATCTATATAGGTTCAATTATTATTTCTTTTTATAAGTTTGGTAACAATATCATAATTGAATAATCAATGCTGTTAATCAGAGATTCTGTCATCACTATTCATAACGTTCAAGATAGGAAGCTTGTATTCAAAAATGAAAAGATATCAGTAATGTATTGTCTGTAGAAGACTAAATATCTTAAAGCTACTACCATTTTAATAAATTCGACTTTTATTACGAGCCTCTAATAGTGTTTTATAAGGTTTGTCAGTGTTGTTCTTGTGATTGATTGACGTAAGATGCCGTCTCTGGAAGAGAGTTCTTTTCATATCATGTGCTTAAGTGAATGAATGCCATGAGTTGGCTTGTTTTGATTAAATATGATTTGACCGGAATTTATACCAGTAATTATACTATTAGACATTTAGAGCGGTGTCTGATGAACGAAGAAATGGAATGTGGTGGTTAATGAACCTACTTAATGGAATCCTATTGAAGTTTCCTTATATATTATTTATGAATATACAGGGTGTGCACCGTTATCTAGTTAACGATTAGGTCAATTATTATACAAATAAAATTTATCATCTAATAATACATACCCATGCTTCCGAATCCTGATCCAAACGGCTTAGGCTGCTCATGAGGTTTTATGAGATCTCCCAAAGGTCCTCCTAAATGTCCTCCGAGTGGCATACATGGACCTTTCTTTTTCTTCGATTTGGAACTAAGTTTGCGGTTGCGCGTCTGGATACCTTCTTTCTTCATGGTGAGCGGTCTGTTCACCTGCAAAAAGAAAATTTAGGCAACGTTAGTAAATATCATGCAACTAATACTCTAAAATATTTTCGTACGTGTGAGGGATACGTTTGAATGGATCCATCGATTGTAGAGACATATTGAATGAAATAAAAAGAACGACCCCACTTAAGGAGTATAAAGAAACAATTTCAAAACCACTTATGCGCACTAGGAATAACAATATACCGACAGCGCACAACAATAAAATCAATGATCCGTCTCATGTCTCAAAGTATGGGATCATAGGCGCACATCTATTGTAATTTTTTTTCTTACTAAACCGAATAATGGATAAATGATTACAGTTAAAATAATATTTGAAAATAAGTTTATAAATATCCGTTTATACGTTCATAAATTCAACGTTGTTTTAAATTCGCAGACAACCATGAGCTATTCAGTTTTATTGCAGCTCTTACAATTAACATACTAATTGACTAATTAACATGAAATACGATTAACCTTGTAACGTTGTTTATGAAACAAGTTTTTAATACAAAATTTATTAATATTATATATTTTAATTGTAGTTAGGAAATCAAAAGCCTCAGGTATAATGATTTTATTAATCCTACGTAAACGATTTATGCGGAAGTTTGCGCGACATTGTAAGTATATTAATTAGAAAATTAAACATTATTGGAAGTACAATATGAGATAATTGCAAAGTGCTTTTATACCATTCACTTTTTTAATTTTTTCGAAAATAAATTTTTTTGCATGTATTTTTGTTTCGAAGCCTTCTGAACATTTTGGCATACCTTAGAAAAAATGTATGTATGCGAGTGAGTTTTTGTATGTATGTATAGGCCCGATTTGAATGATTCTAGAAACATTTCACTTGTATTGACGGAATGAAGAATTGATTAAACATTAGGGAAGGCAGGTCCAGCGGTTAGGAGGTCCAAAAAAAGAACTTTTTATTTGGCGGTCGAAATTGATAATTGGACATATGCACATAAGATTCAGATATTTTATAAATAATTTAATAATGAGTACAATATTTGTTAGCATTTCCGTGAAATCTATACCAAGATTTATATTATTTAAAGTTCACTTATATAGTTCAAAAAAATGTCTTCGATATTTTCGACAATATGGTTACCCATTTGAATGAGTTTTAAAATTTTTATAGAATTTCAAAATTTTCAAAAAAAAAAATTTAAAATAAAATAAAAAAACATCAAAATTGTCAAAAAGTCTATTTTAGAAAAAATCAAAATTAAATCTAATGTTTCAAAATTTTCACAAAAATAATTACGGTACGGGAAGTTCCTTGTAGTTTGAATTTGCCTTGAAGTATGCACCACTAGTTAATTTTTATCGTTATATGTGCACTATATTTAAAAGTATATGCAATTTGAGGCAGACAATATAAAAATAATACAACGCTTGCCTGCCCGGATTTCTGGTGGATTTTCGGCTAATCCAAAACGAAGTTATTGTATTGTGCTTGCGCAGAAGTCCATGTGATTTGTCATTGGTGCGTGCTGATCGCTCAGTTCCAATGAGAAGGGACCAGAGGCACATATATCATTAATTTTTTTAAATATAAAAAGGGGACACATTATTACATTGTCGCAAGTTTTACTGCAAAATGCATTACAATTTCAAGAGTCCTTTTCATGAAAGCTCAAAGCACAAAGGTGAGTCGGCCCGGGAGTGAAATTTGATACGATTTAAAAATAGGACACAATAAGGACCCCATTGCATTTAGTTAAGAGCACTGTTGCAATATTTGTATGTATACGGATGTTATGCAAAAAGGTCCCGTCGCTATGAAATTGATATTTGCGAATAAGTTTCTTCTGAAAATTGTTGAAGCGAAATAACTATTCATACGTTGACATGATCGTAATACAATGTTACTTTATAACGTATCGAACCTATAATTATGGTCCACAAACATTTACTCAGATATTTTATATTTAAATGTTATTATAAAATTTCTCTGTATTTTCTTCAAGTCCGTTTCAACAAATTTATACATTGCTAATGACTGTAATTAATACGTGTATGAACTTCTGCGGTTACGACGGTTCTAATTCATTCGTTTTATTTCGAAAATAAAAGACGCAAAATAATTGTAGCTTGTCGTATTTCTTACACGTTATAAATCATATCAATTAATTTAGTGTACAAGTCGCGTACCTGCTATACATTTTATACCCCGAGCTGTTTTATAGGCGGGAATAACATTGTATAACTTTGTATGTAGATTCTCATTGCCTCATATAAGGTATAATACAACGTATGTAGAATTCCCATTGAAATGTGTGCGAGTTAAACTCGACTCATTATTATATTAGACATTAGGGGGCAGAATCACAAGTTCCTCTATGTCACAGTCGGAGTCCCTGCTAAGTTTATTCTATCAGACTTTCCGATCTTACTCTGTATTTGTGGACCTATCATCCACGATAGGGATCTGAAGTAAATTGGTGGCTGGCCAAACACCGACGTGCAAGAAGCTTATGCCAATATTAGCCAGCGCTTATGTGCTTTAAATTCGCATGCCTTGCGTATAAATATCTAACTCGAATTAATTATGAATTGCACTCTATACTCTTATTAGGCCACCAGGAAATGGATATAAATGACAAATACAAAAAAATTAAAAAAAAAACTATTCGACATCATATTTTATAGTTACGGCCACGTAATCGTATATATATATATAAATAAGTCGGGTTTTCCTTCCTGGCGATTTAACTCCAGAACGCACGAACCGATTTCGACAATTTTGCATTCTTTGGAAAGGTCTCGGGCTCCGCAAGGTTTATAGATAAGAAAATTAGTGGTGCATGGCCTAATGCACCCTAATCGTGCCCTAATGCAAATCGCTGGAACTTCACGCAACGTAATTAAAAATTCGAGTATGTAATGACATTAGTGAGAATTTTCAGAATTATGCTTGGTTAAGTCTACGAGCAATTTATGCCGCCAAGAAATATGATGTACACGCACTGAATTTCACCATTCAATCAAAAATTGCTGGCGATTTAGTGACATACCAATGATTCTGACTGGTCTTCCGTTTGGCAAATAACAAGTCGCAAGGCCAATAGCTTAGTGTTTGCGGGTTAAATTTCAAATAGATTATTTAGAAAATCCTTGTTTTTCACATGGGCAGTTATACGTTGCCTGTTCACGAGTTGGTAAACCATCCGCTTTGTTTGTGTTAACGTCAGACCAAAAAACAAAAAATGTGGTTTACCAAAGAGCACTTCAATGAAACGGATAATTTGCGGATTCACTTTCATTTACTTAGAGAAGATCAACTAAAAAACAATTCATTTTTGCAATCGAAATAAATTCATTACCGTTGTATAATAAAATCAAATTTTTTCTTTTCAAATATAAAACAAACAAAAAATTTCTTCATCTTTCTCACAAAACCATCTGGTGGCGAAACGGAGTTCGTCGGGTTTGCTAGTACATTATATTTACGCTTTCAGACTAGTTATTAATAAATGTGCGTTTTATAACATTATTGAACTTTATTCTTAGTTTTCTTATTACACTGACATCTAAATAGTCTAAGTGATTTATTCTTTGTAGAAAATTGTTAGCAGTTTTTGGGAGAACGGAATTTTTTAAAAAATCCGTTGGAATTTTCGAGTGTTGCAAAATATTTAAACTGAAATAATATTTTTTTATTGGTGCAGCAATGCCAGGTAACAGCTATTTTTACTGGGAAACATATTTCTATCTATATTACCAAGTTCAAACCGATGTCACTACTGCTTGACATCTGTATGTCGAACTTGGAATTTCTAATTCAAAGCACATAACACTGACTAGTTCAAAAGGGAGAAGATCCAATAATATGTTAAAAAAATGTATTCTATCATCAGTCACTTCCGAGTTATAAATATCTGAGTTTTAAGGAATGAAGACATCTTGTCGGGCCTGTCAACGTTCGATGCGACTGACTGCAGTCGTCAATGGGAATGATTTTTGCCTGGATTTCTTCTGAATTTGCGTTTTGAAATAACGGATAATCGCGCAAATCACACGCGTCCGTCATATTATCCGCGATGGTTTTCCGTTAGTTTTCACCGAGAGTTGAAATTTAAACGCAACATGCGCCCAATGTGCGGCACAGCCGTTCTACACAACATCGCTTCCGACGTCCGGTCATTAAAAACAGCTTATTTTTGTGAAATAGAGAAACAGACATGGCCATTGTTTAACGCACGCAGAGTAGACACGGACAAAACAGAAAAAGAAATATACCAACGAATCGCACACCATTCCATATCAAACGCAGTAATTGTACATTATGGTAAAAGACTCCGCAGGCCAACTCACTGAAATGCGCCAGCAGAGGGTTTGAATTAGCAAATGGCTTGATATTGGATGACGGATACATTTACTCGAATTATGATCTAATTATCTAATATAGCAAATACCTAGTTATCAAATAAAATCCATATATTCACTCATTTTTTACTATTACAGTACTAAGTTCGTAATCGAATAAATTGGTTCTATCGGTCTTGTAAACTTGTATATTTAGCTACATACATTATTTTCTATTTGAAGAGACAATTATAAATCCTATTTGGTATTTTACCCCGTGAAATAGTGCTTAGAACTATAAGATTTGAATCAGAGGTCCCAGGTTCCATACCCGGCCCGAAGAGCATGATTGTTGTGACATTTGATTTCACTTGATTTATAGATAGCAATATGTTTTTTAGTGAAAATATTTTTACCCGGCATTGCTGCTTCAATAAAAAAATTGATCAGTGTAATAACAAAACTCATCATATAGAAATGGGACAACTATTTAATGGGTTGCCATCTATAAAAATCGTATCTTATACACTAATTATTCAATAATATATTATATCATAACTCTATGTTGAGGTGTGTTCAGTATTTATTACAATTTTACATATCCTGCATTTTTGTTGTTATTGTTGTCTTGTTTGTGTGTTATTTGTTGTGATGTAGTTGGTTTGGTTTTAGCAGTATAAATACTAAAAGTCAAATTGAATTTTTATGATATTATTTTCGGTTGTTTTGTATCCCTCTAAAATTTTCAAGTCCGCCGACTGAGCCGTGATTAACCGCATTGTGTGGTAGGCTCAGCGATCCTTGCGCATCCATCACAAATAATCGTGCACATAACAGTAACAAAATGAAAATAATGAGTATCAACGCGACGCGTATAAATTACCTTTTTTCTAAGAATTCCGTAATAGTGAATAAATTAGGCGAACGCCAGTCCGCTGGTCGGTCGGTTGAGCAAATACAAGCGTTGCGCTGAATCCGATGTTAAGGGGAACAAAGGAGGCACTGTTCTGCCGCGACTCTTGCAACGGGTAAAGTGGGCCCCCCATGACAGACGACCGAGTGTTGTTACATTTATAATTAATTAACTAGAAATTATAATTGGCGAAATGCTGGAGATGAGATCGTTCGCTGTCTTCGACCGCTGAGCGTACTCCTCCGAACAGCATCTTCATCAGTACCGCAATGAATCTTATTTAGATTCCTGTTACGACTGATCAATTTTGAACGAACTTCCAAAAATGAAATTTGTTTTCAAGAATTATGAACTCGCTTGCTTATAAAAATACTCTTAAACGCGCCTCATTAAGTTTATCTTGATATTTAAAATTTAAATTAGAACAATTTGTAAAATTATTTTGAGGTATTTTGTATTGTTTTACATATCAAAGATTACGTTTTATTCCATTGATTTTTATTACTGGTATAAATTATAATGATTAATAAGTCTGTTTTGAGTAAATCATCTTAGAGCAAAACGTTTTTAGGAAAAAACAATAAATAACTTTGATATCGCCGCGGGCATGATTTTGGCAATGCGCCAGATTAGAACAAGGAAGACACCAAAATCGAGAGTTAGCAGTTTCTAAAAATATTAAAAATGCAGAATATGTAAAATTGTAATATATACTGAACACACCTTAACATAGAGTTATGATATAATATATAATTGAATAATTAGTGTATAAGATACGATTTTTATAGATGGCGACTCCCATTTCTATATGATGAGTTTTGTTATTACACTGATCAATTTTTTATATTGAAGCAGCAATGCCGGGTAAAAATATTTTCACTATGAAACATATTGCTATCTATATTTTCAAGTAAAAACCAATGTCACTACTGCTTGACAATCATGCTCTTCAAGCCAGGTATGGAACCTGGAACGTATCAAACAGACAACTATCGAGCTATATTTAGCAAAATTTCCAGAAGGTTTATTATTGTAGGAATATTTTGTTTGCTGGTTTGCAAAATTTTTTTTATCTATTTTATCTTACCCTATAGGCGTAAAAAGAGACAGCCAGGGGGTAAAAAGTTCTACTATTTAATTTTTAATTTTAAAGGAATTTTACAGAACGATAGCTACTTGATACAATGATAGCTATGCAGTTTAATCATTTGGTTAAATTAAACAACAAAATTAAAATTATATTTATCAACCCTTACAACTATCAAAAATCTAGTTTTGGTTGGTATTTCTGTTGAATTTATTATAATCAGACTCATTGTTCCTAAATTAAAAATATCACACATGAGATGAACTTCTGTTTGAAATACATATTACACGGGCATTTTTCACAAAGATCTCACTGCATATTTTCGTATGGAACTTGGTCCAAATAACTCATCATCAGAATTGAAATAACTATTAATTTAATTTATCTCAAATTGTCTTTATTACTTGATTTTAATTTTTTAGTTGGGAAAACTACTTGCGTTAAGAAACTCTACAAAATTTATCTCGTCGCCCAATTTTAGGCGATAGTTGGTTATACATGTTTTCCCCTGTACTTTAAAATTATACTGTAAAAATAGCATAATATACTTGTTTTTGAGATGGTGATGAAATTTTATGCCCGCGGACCTTTAGGCACTGCTCTAATCTATACATAAAATTTGTCAGCTTCGTAAATTACTACTAAATTATTGTGTACAGATTACACAAAATCACATAATGAGAGAAATCTGATAAAAACAGTCGCTAATTTTACTCTATTGTACTTTTTTATTTACTCAATTTTATAGTTTATACCTTTGGTTCAGTTGCCAAAAATACTACGTTAAAGAATTGACAATGTGGCCGTTTATTTCGTGATAGCAAATTCGCCCAATTTTGGGCGATAGTTTGTTATACATCTTTTGCCCAGTACTTTAGAATTATACTGCAAAAATACCATAATATACTTGTTTTTGAGATGCCCGCAAACCTTTAGGCATTGCTCTTTCTCATAAAATAACATTTATATAATTCTCATAATACATAAAGTTGACAGCTTCGAATATTACCAACATATTGAATGCATATAGTTTATAACAACCTTGAAATTTAATATTTAACAATGACTAAATTATTGTGTATAGGTTGCACAAATAGACATAATCAGAGTAATCTCGTTAAACAGTTGTCTGTTTTACTCTATTGTACTTTCTATATACTACTTTTTACAGTTTATACCTTTGGTTTATTTGCGAAAAAATACTATGTTAAAAAGTTGACAATGTGGCCGTATATCTTGCAACGTCGCCCAATTTTAGACGATGGTTGAATAAACATCTTTTGCCCTTTACTTTAAAATAATATCGTAAAAAATATGATATATATTTGTTTTTGAGATGGTGATGAAACTTTATACCCGCGAACCTTTGACCTCTATCCAATATATATACATAAAATTTGGCAGCTTCGTATATTACCACCTAATTATTGTGTACATGTTGCACAAATTGACATAATCAGAGTAATCTGATAGAAACTGTTGTCTGTTTTACTCTATTGCACTTTTTTATTTACTACTATTTCATAGTTTATACCTTTGGTTTAGTTGCAAAAAATACTACGTTAAAAATTGACAATGTGACCGTATATCTTGCGACGTCGCCCAATTTTAAAGTCTATACTTTAGAATAGTATCGTTAAAAAATAGTATCGTTAAAATATACTTGATTTTGAGATAATGGTGATGAGACTTCATACCCTTTAAGAACTGCTCAACTGCTATAAGTACATAAAATTTGGCAGCTTCGAATATTACCAACATATTGAATCTATACAGTTTATTACTAGTTTGAAAATTAATATTTAACAACGACTAAATTATTTGTGTACAGGTTGCACAAATTTGCATAATCATATTAATCGACAAATAGGCATTGGCGTAGTATCAAACACACCACAATTTATTGAAATAGTGAATATGCACGATGGTATAATTCTGCAATTTGCGGGTATCCACTCGCACAATAATTGTACAAGGTTTTATTTAACAAAATCAATGAAATACAATTTCTAAAATCGATCAATTACAATTATCATTTACTACTTACATTGTGTAACTTGTAGTAGAGTCCGCACGCATTGCAAACGGGCTCGCCGTTCTGATTGCGTCTCCAAAGAGTGGTCGTGGTCGTCTTGCAGTTGGCGCACGACGTTCCTGCCCTCCTCGCCGCACTTTGCAGTGACTGAAACGCAAACAAGGATTCATTTCATTAGTTTCTTAGTTGCTTTAATTCGTGATCATCATTCATTTATAACAAACGCAGATGATAGAACACACATATACTAGAAGCTACTATTAACGGTCACACTACCAGATGGAATCTGGTTGGCAGGAAGTATGAGAGTTGTGCATTGAAAATTTGCAAATGCAATTTTATATATTCTATTATTATAATAAACTAGCAAACCCGACAAACTCCGTTTCTCCACCAGATGGTTTCGTGAGAAAGATGAAAAAATTTGATTTTATTATACAACAGTAATGAATTTATTTCGATTACAAAAATTAAGTGTTTTTTAGTTGGACTTCTCTAAATAAATGAAAGTGAATCCGCAAATTATCCGTTTCATTGAAGTGCTCTTTGGTAAACCACATTTTTTGTTTTTTGGTCTGACGTTAACACAAACAAAGCGGATGGCTTTCCAACTCGTGAACAGGCAACGTATAACTGCCCATGTGAAAAACAATGATTTTCTAAATAATCTATTTAAAATTTATCTCGCAAACATTAAGCGATTGGCCTTGCGACTTGTTATTGCGAACGCAAGGCGAACTGGAAATTGCAATCGTTTGAAGTCAAACGGAAGACCAGTCAGAATCATTGATATGTCACCAAATAGCCAGCAATTTTTGATTGAATGGTGAAATTCAGTGCGTGTACATCATTATTCTTTGCGGCAAGAATTGCTCGTTGACTTAACCAAGCATAATTCTGATAATTCTCACTAATGTCATTACTCGAATTTTTAATTACGGTGCGTGAAGTTTCAGCAGCTTGCATTAAGGCACGATGCCATGCACAACTAATTTTTTAGCTATAAACCTTGCGGAGCCCGAGACTTTTCCAACGAATGCAAAGTTGTCGAAATCGGTTGTGCGTTCTGGAGTTATATCGTCAGGAAGGAAAACCCGACTTATTTTTATATATATAGAAGAAGATATTATGGCATAGAATCATAATATAATTATATTATTATGTTTGTGTGTATCGCATGATATAGTAAAATAGTATTCCAAGAAAAGTAAAGGCCGCATTAGAGATGCTAGCTGAGTATTATGCGTATATTGTGCTCATTAACTTCCTTATGCCGGTTTTAATGCGGTAGTTTCTGATATAACAATTTTTATTATTAATAAAGATAAAACTGTATTTCATGTGAAGGCACGTGTAGTACATTGTCTGTTGCTCATTATTGTTGTTTTTCGTTGTTCAACATCTGCATAGTAGCCTCTATGTTGAAGCAAACTCACACATATTGCCGCGGTCCATGCACGACTCGCAGTGTTTGTTTATTGCCCCAGCCAGTGTATTGTTATACGATAGAACAAAGTGTTATGCTAATTCCACCTAGTAATTTAAGGCGAACCGGATTTCATGTCCAATTCCAAGTACCTGTCGTTAATTCATCTTAGTTACAGTCTATAAATTTTATAACACCAATTTTCTTTTCAAATTGTAAGATGATTTTCGCCTTATTAACTTTTTATTTAGCCATACAAATTGATATGATGGCCTAGATCCAATCCGTCCCTAATTTGAATAGGCGAATGTTCCGTTGCGCCTTGTGTAGCCAACAGATACAAATGTGCTCTAATATTGTTTATGCTATCAGTTAATGTCAATATAATTATTTAGCATTCGAATCGTATATGATAATTTCTAAACAATAACTATGGCGTGTGCTATGAAAAGTATGAATTCGCGTTAGCTCTATTTGCAACCTCGATTGTACATTTCGCTCTTAGTACTTATTAATTTAATTACACGTTATAGTGGTGCACTCCATTGTTGTATCCATTGCATTCTATATTAAGATTCGAGGCCGCTCAAGAATAATCTTATATTTACACAAACTAAATATAAAAGTATTATAATGAACAATATAATTATACCAGAGTCCGGCAGTTCTGGTGATTGTGTTAAATAACTTCTGACATTAGCATCAGAACACAATGCGAGTGATATTTGCATTGGATGGAGGTGTTTAGCGTTTTTCATAATTCGGTATGGGAAACGTATTGTTGTTGTTCTTCAGTGTCAAGAATTGTTAAGATGTCTTCGGGTCATGGCCAAATCTGCAAGGAGCTCCCTGGGTAATCGATCGCCAGACAGACCAGAGATTGTGTTAAAGGTAGGTGGTTCTTATGATATTTAAGCAAATCGAATGGATGTTATCGGATATTGAAAATCGTAAATTACATATTTGAATTCAAGGATGGTCTTGTTTTATTGTAGCTTCCATTCGACTTCTAGAAAATAAACGTAGAACAAAGCAAACAGGCGAATCTTTATTCACTTATAACGAAAGTTATACACTGGTATTTGAATATTATTTTGCAAACGCAACCATTACATCAAAAACAACAATGCGATAACTTCTGCTTGTTTACAACACCAAGACAAATAATTTAAAATAATGTTTATAATTCGTTTAATCCGATCAGCGAATCATTCAGTAATCAAAATAATATCAAACATACACAATCTGTTGAAATCACAGTATAATGAACCCGTATGATAAATTAGCATGTTAACACATATTAAATTAATCTCTTATTAGTTTAATTAATGAATTGATAAACGATTATTATTCAACTTTGATTCAGGAATGATTCATCGTTAATCAATGATCACGTTGACTGTGGTCGATATGTCATTAAGATCTATGAAGAAAAACAAGAAGTTGTCGTGGCAGTTGTTTGTATTTGTATATTAAGCCATTAGCAATACATGGGCATGCTGAATTTCCGGTAATGTAATTGAGACTCTGAATTGGAACAAACGTCGACTGGACAGACGATCAATCCAGATGGACAGACAACCAATCTGGATGAAATATTTGCATTAATATTGTGGTCTGCGGATGCACTAGACATACATTGTGAATTAAGTTCACGTTTTTCAACCACAAGACGTGCATAACATTGTCAAAAACGGATGTTGATTTGACATTAGCCTAATTGTAACATGATTTTTTATTCAATGTCGCAGAGGAAACGCAATAAATCGTTTCTTGTCAATACATTTATAAATTCAACTATATCCGTTTAATATCAATCAAAAGAAGTATTTACAACTAATTAAATTTATGCTTTTTCAAGAAAAATAGAGACTAGATTATCAATCAACTGATTTTATTAAAATGCTAAACTCAGTAAAGTGCAATGGTTCATATTAATCATTGAACTTTATGGAGAGATCTTTGCAATACGAGTTTATTATTAATATAAATGAATAATATAACACTATACAGATTTATTATTATCATAGTACATTAATTCAAATCAAATTATAATAATTGCATATAAATGTACAGGTAGTGGATGTCAGGTAATTCAATCATTTGTAATGTACAACATTCTAGAAAATTAATTTTAATCATAAAATCGATATAAATTTATTAAAAAATAAGAAATTAAAATTAGCAAAGTTTTAGCTTTTTTTTAAAAAAAAAAATCCGGTATGTGAAGTTCCAGTAATGTGCCTTAAGACACGATGTCATGCTAGTGAGTAAAATACATTTTTTCTGATTTTTATGAGCAAAATTTGGCCTGGTTAAGAATGTGAAAAATTTCAGTTGTAACGTTATTCTTTAAGTTTAAATATTATTATTCAGACAAATTTAAACAATTTAAGTATTATATGAGTGAGTAATTTTAAAATATATTTAATGAAGCGTGAGGTCTGAAACACAAATATCTAAAAAAAAAAAAAATATCAGGCAAATAAAAACAAAATTTCTCTAATATTTCTTGTTCCTCGAAAGTGAATTTTTCAATATCTTTTATCCCCAACCATAAAGTCTATCACCGAACACATCCTAATCATCTTGTATCAGAGAAGTACAAGAAAGCAATGAGTATCAAACACTTAGCTATGCGATAAGATATGTTATGTTAGATACCAATACAGAAATCGAAGTTAGTATTTGTCCCGAATCGGATGGATGACACAGGTTTAATTAACTCGTGCATGCCGCTGTTAATACCCTTAATCGAAATACATACGATGACTCCTGTTAGGAGACAACGGAGACCCGGACGACAAGACAACAACGGGTACACAGGTACACAGTTACACAGGTACACACATGAGCGCACAGCACAACCGTGTTAGTTGTAACATGTCAGTTTTAATTGGGAGGTAGATCACCGTGATAGGACTCGATACGATTCGATAAGATTCGATACGATTGACCACAGAGGAAAGGAATCACCGGAGAAGTCCTCTGAAAGATACGTGAGAATAAAAAAAAAATTGAGCTAATAATTATTTTTCGACGCAATTTCATATTTTATGTCCTTATATATTGATAATACATTTGACTAACTCTTGTCCAGCTGTACAATTTAATTTGCTAAATCACCAGCTGAAAATTTTCAACTATCGTCCTCAGCAAATAATGCGCTTATGAGCTTATCCATACAAAACTACACAAACGAAGAAAACACACGTCTGTATCAATTCAATGGCCGTGCACCTTCAATAAAATTATAAATTTAATATATAATACGTCGGCACTACATTAACATTAGATTTACGGCGCTGCGGCCAGCAATAGACTTCATTTATGGTTATTTTAGTATAATAAAATATTTTACGCGAATCAGTATACATATATTCAACTATAAATACGTGCAGAATGCAAACAAACGGCTTAGTACTGTACAGTACTTATTTAAACAAAATTCTACTTCCATATCCGCATTGGAACATTAAGCATCATATAATAATAATTATAGTGTATTGTAGAAAAAAATCAAAGAATTGAGTTTTTGGTTTTTAATTTCTTACACGACACAAATGCTTCATTTGTTTTATTATTTTAATTTTGTTTAATTATTTACGGGGGACAGAATAAAATATTCTTCTGATTCGGGCATTTTTTATTAAATCAAGATTTGTACTACAATGTAACCTTACAATCTAATGACA